ACAAAATCCTGCAAAATATAGATAGAAATTTCTTTTTCAATTAGAAATTTTTGAAATCCTAGCAGAATTCGAATCTCGAAAAAGTGGAAATTTGCTCAGGACCCTTCGAAAATCTTGTGCTAAATCCTGTCACAATATTTCACGTTTCGAGTCTACTCGTTTCTTTCACGATTTCGTTCAATGAAATGTATTTAAATCGACTAATAACGTACAATACAAATTCATTCATCATTTTGTTTGAATTATTTAAAAAAAACTAGTGAATATTTCGGACTTATATTCAGTCCATTATCAACGCAAATGACAAATAAAAAATACAAGAACTTGTGTGTATAATTTTTCTTTTTGTTCTTCTTTTTTTTACTATTGCAATCTAAAGGGAGAAACGCTAGTTTATGTATTTGTAATGTTAAAGAAAAGAAGAAGGAAAATAAAAGAAAAAAAAAGTTGTACATACAAATTTTTGTATTTTTTACTTGTCATTTATGTTGATAATGAACTAATATCAGTCCAAAATATTCACAAATGTTTTGAAATAAATTCAAATACAATGATCCATGAACTTGTATTGTTCGTTATTAGTTTCTTTCAGGATTTACTCTTTCGTGAACCGAATCGTGATTTTCAAATCTAATAGTAAACTGCTCAAAATTTCGATTAAATCCTGTTTTAAATACTATTAGAGTCCTAAACTTCTATGACTGCATCCTTTTTTCAGCAAAGAAACAACAAATCGTTGCAGAATCCTTATTGAATCTGTCAAGGACATACTGCGGAAAAACTAAAGATTTTCGCTAGGGTTACGACAACATTAGGAGAAGAAGAGAGAAAACTTCCGAACAATATTAAAAAAGAGATGACATGCGACACAGCATATACAATTATGTCTTAATGAATCTTTTTTTTCATTCGCCCGTTAGCTTGTGATACTACACACAATGGAGAGAGAAAAAAGAGGAATGAAGCACTCAAGTGAACCGAAAAGGAAAAAACAATTCGAACAACAATAAAAAATCTAAAAAGTTAGAAATATATAGAAAAAAATATACCAGCGTACTATACACATATTCAAATCATTTACTTTCTTTTTTCTACTGATAAAAATACTACGCTTACCACGGAAAACAAGAAAAAGTTGACAACAATAATAACAACAACTGCTGCTGCTGCTGCTGTTACCACGCCATCTAAACATACGTACTTAAGGCAACGACAGATCCCTTATGCTAATATGATTCAGAACTTCCTACTATGTGGCTCGATAATAGCATTGACGACATGAATAACGACCATTATATCAATACCATCAACAAATTCAAAGTAGTGAACAATATATATCCATTCACTGATGTAAACGAATTTATCGACTTTATAACCAATACTTAACAAAAGGTTCTGACAAACAATTGTTTCCATTGCCCATGAGATTCCTCAAATAAATACTATTTATATTTTGAGTAAGAACTAGGGATGTACCAATTCCAATTCCAATTCTTGACTTGGAATTGGTTGGAATTGGTTAGAATTGGAATTGGAATTGGTCAGAATTGATTTTCGTAAAACAATGATTTTACACATATTTCGACAAATTATCAGTCGGTTACCAATTTTTTTCAGACCAATTCCAATTCCAATTCCAACCAATTCTAGGAATTGGAATTGGTGCATCCCCAGTAAGAACTAAGCCCAACATGACGGTTGAACCAAACAATGGTAAAAAATCAGCGATGCATTTACAGGCATTGCCTCAATCATATAAACCATTTCCCCAAGCGGCAGATAAATGTGACCAAAACATGATTTCAATCAGTTTTGTTCCAACTAGTAGTGGAAGCAGCAAACCGAACCTCGATCAATTAGATTCTTCATTTATGTACACACAGATAATGAACAAGATCCTACTAACCATCACTGTCAATCAACAACGCATTGATTTATTTATTACTTATTGTCGTCAACTATTCACCACGAGTTCAAAAGAACGGCAAAATGTTGACAAACTTCAACAAGAATACGACAAGTATGTCCCCATTTGGTGGTATACCAACCAATATTTTTTGTATTCGATGCTCAAACGATCATTGCGAATGATGGAGATCGATCTCATTATTTGTATGGGATTTTTTCTTCAAGATCTTCATAACAGCATACTCGAGTTACATGCTCAACACTTTACTGAACATACGCATATGAGTTCATATACTGTTTATCGTGGTCAAGAACTGTCGCAAACACACTTTGATCAAATGACTCGAATCCAAGGTGGAGTACTATCATTTAATAACTTTTTGTTGACAAGTCTTGATCAAGAACTATCTCTTGCCTTTGCTCAGAGTAATCAAAATTATCCTGACCTAATCGGTGTACTCTTTGAAATAACTATTAATCCATCAACATCAACTACTCCTTTCACCAACATGCATGGCGTCAGTTCTTTCAAGGACGAACCAAAAATTCTCTTCTCCATGCATTCTATTTGTCTCATTGGATTCGTGAAACAAATTGATGGAAATAATCGTCTCTGGCAAGTCGATTTAACATTGACTAGTGGCAACGATGCAGATCTTGTTGCACCTACTGAACAAGTATGCAAAAAGACTGACCCTGATGCGGAAGGATGGAAACGTTTGGGTATGTTACTAACTAAACTTGAAAATTTCGACACAGCTCAAGCACTATATGGTGTCTTTCTTGATCAAACAATGCCTGATTACGAAAAAGCATATACTTAGGTCATATCAAAAATAGTGGCCCCCGCATCTTAATTTCGTATGGACTGCTTGGAAAAAATTTCTGTTTTTATGAACAGATGAAGCGTCTTTTACTCTATCTTTCTATGCTATTTGATCACTATTCAACTAATATCATAATAATAAAATTTCGATAAGATCCGTTTCTTTCGCATGTATCCTGGTACCACGAACATGAATGCTCGTGGGTATTTTTTGAATAACATTTGATAACAACAAGATAGAGAACTGCGGTTTTCACCGTTGGAAAGACGAGATGAAGACACATCGAATCGCATATTACTGATTTTGCTAACCTGTTTTTTGTAAGGTTTTCAGTTGACCTTTGAAAGAACAAACCTACCCCGTGAGTTGTTTACAGTGAATGTTCAATAATCAGGTTCCCATTCAAACCGCTAATCGAAGATCTACAAACTGCGAAAGACTCAGATGTTTAAATTTAATTATTTAGAGATAATATGTATTCTAACTACGATTTTCTATCAACTTTTTTGCTTTTTCGTTTTTCCATTAAAAAAAAATTCTTTCAACGGTTAGAAAATTGAATGAAAAAACTTCAGAAATCGTATTAGAAAAATCAGTAATATACAGTTGAATGCGTCTTCATCTCCTCTTTCCAACAGCGAAAACCACAGTTCTCTATCTTGTTGCTATCAAACGTTATTCAAAAAATACCCACGAGCATTCATGCTCATGGTACCAGGACACATGCGAAAGAAACGGATCTTATCGAAATTTTATTATTATGATATTAGTTGAATAGTGATCAAATAGCATAGAAAGATAGAGTAAAAGACGCTTTATCTGTTCATAAAAAAAGACATTTTTTCCAAGCAGTCTATACGAAATTAAGATGCGGGGGCCACTACTTTCGGTATGATCTAAATAAAAAGAAAAGGGTAAATTGACTGACTAGTTAATACAGTACTTAGTCAATTTTTTATTCCTTTTCGTTCTCTCTCGACGTAGGCATCAAAATTTGTTATTTTCTGTTGTGAAGACTTCAAGAAAGAAAAGTCAAAAAGTACTCGTTCATACGCGAGAATGAAATTTCATTATCGAATCAATAGCATCCATCTCCTGATCTTTAATACGACGTACCATCTTGTTGCAGACAACCATTCAGAAAGACAATTTTTTGTGAACTTTCTTTTTTCCAGCTTTCAGATAATTAAAATGAAGACATCAGCAAAAGTTAACCGTCACTCTTTTTGCTTATGGTTAAGATAGCTGTGAATACAGCCGACTATAAGCGATGAGTCATATATCAACTAAATGATCAATCCATATGGTTTGATTTGAAATCTGTCGATGCGCATCAATAGGATACTCCTAGTATTGGATTTTGCCACATCTAATTTTCAATTCATTTTCTATTTCAAATAGCGGATTGACCGCAATGCAATTAATTCGAGTTTTCGATGAGTGCGACACACATAAAGAATTCCTAGCCGTGAACTGTACACATTTCGTGTACAGAAAAGTTGTGTAATTAATCATAGAAACGATTAGTCTTTTTTCATTAGGTCTTGTTTTCCCCGACAATTCAGATTTGAAGCTTCGCACCACACTTCGCAATCGAAAAGACCTCGAATGCCATCTACTTATTATTAGCAATTTGATTCTGAATTATTCCATTCATTCAATTGTTGGATTAGTTTTATTATAAGTCGAACATCAAAGCATGATATTGTTTTATGTCATTTATTGCTATTAATTGCTAGTATATGTTTTAATAAATTTTTGTTTTTTAATTTGTAGCATTGAGCAGAAAAAAAGAAATATAAACATAATCTATCAATGTAAGTAAAAGATTTTTTTTATTTGAGCAATGATCTTATTAATAAAACTTAGGTATGTAACAAAAAATATTTACATTAGCTTGAATTTAAAAAGTAAAATAAAAAAAAGAATATTTTTTCATTTAAACAAATATTTTATAAAAATTACTTACAAAGAAATTATTTTTTTATTTACAAGAAAAACGTCATTTTTTCCAATAAGAGAAAAAGTAGAAAATATGATATCGACTATTAATTCCATACTAAAAGTAGAGATATACTTATTCGTTATCATCATCATCGGATAAAAGAATACGAACACGACGAAAATTTTGGTGTGATGAACGAATACAAATAGTTCTTCTGTTAAATTAGCTGTTTGTTGTTACATTTTTTATTTTTGTCCTAGCTAAAAGATAAAATTCGAATATCAATTGGTTTGAAACTAATTTTTCGCTTCAAAAAACATTTCTGATTATGTTAATACTGACTCTTCGAGTTTAAGTCATTTAGAGCCTATTGTTTTTTATCATAGATTACAAAAATGTTAAAAATTAAAGTTAGCCAAAGGAAGTCATGAAAAGTTATTTTAAGTAGTTATAGCAGAAACTCTAAGGATTAAAGTATCATGACTAGGTATGTGCAAGATCAAGTTTTTTTCTTCACGATCCTGATGCAGTAAAGGTTTTTGGTTTCGATCTCGATTTCGATAATTTTAGTTTTTCAGGTCTATGCTCTGGTCTTGGATACAACCTAGTAGAATCTATTTCAGAATTTATTCGTATCACATTTAAAATAATGCTTCAATATACTCACTTTTTTATATATTTAGTCACACACTAGCAATTTTTTGGATTATGTCTCTTGAATTATGTTCTGATTCATACGATTTATACGATAATTTGCTTTAATACCATAGAATATTTCACTATAAGCAGGAGTTCCGATCCCGGCAAATTTCTTTCTCATGGATCTGGTTCTGCTGTCGAATCCGATGACCGAGATCGGTACCAAAATTGGAATTGATCCTGCACATCTCAAATCATGATGTGTTCATCTTTTTGTATGACAAGTTGTTAGTATGACAATAATAAATTGATTTACGATGCACAGAAAATTTTACTTGAAAAGTAGTAGAATTAAGGGCATCAGGTACTCTCAAATTTCGGTTTCGATGCCGATAAAGCTTTTTCTTGGTCCTGGTCCTGGTGCCAATCACCAGGATCGAGACTGGCTCCGCACATCTCTAATCATGACTATTGACTTAAATGCTTATACCAGCAAAAATATTTTTCTTTCAAATTTTTTTAAATTAAAATGAAAGGGACTGATGTTTTTCCAATAAAACAGCGTCATTGATTCATTTTTTTTTCTTTTTATTTGTTAATATGAGGGCTCAATCAACTTTTTTGTGAAGCATCGATAGATACATTTTTTCTTGAGATTTATTCGACGATATGTCGTGCCACACGATGATTGACATAATATTAATATTGAGTTATCGAGTGAATGTATACGTCTTCGCTGGTCATTTTTTTCATAGATGAGTTTTAAAGATGATAGAATCCATTCATTTGTCTTCTAGATGCTTTACAGAGAGCTTGTTCAAGTTCCAATGATATATCTCACAACAAATAGAAACAACAGCTGGTGAACGTTCAAAAACGGCGATAAAAGACTACTGAGTTACTTGATAAAAAAAACCTTCTTGAAAGTAGCTTTTTTTTTAATTAGTGAACTGCTTTAGATAATAAAATTCTTTATGGTACTTTCACATAGAGTAGGCACGATTATTGACTATGTGTGAACTCCTTTTCATGCATCTACTGTAGATGTAGAT